TTGATTATACACCTTACCAATGGCAAATTTCTGTAATAGGCCTACTAAATGCATTTGTATTTTTTATGTTTGTTTCATTTTTTTCCCAAAATTTTTCTTAGCAATTCAAAAACCAGGGAGAAATATAATTTTAGTTATCTTTTAAAAATTCTAATTATTTGAATTAACGGAAAGAATAAAGTAACATGAAAGCCATCAGAGATGGCAGATCCCCCAGCATCTTTATTACAAGCACTAGTAAAATGTTACAGATATGGTATTTATGCATTTTTAATAAGGTCACATGACCATATATAATTATTATTAAATATGTTGATCAGACTGTGTGTCCAATGTCTTCAATAAAGCACTGGTTTAATGTCTATATTTGCATCAGTTCTCTAGATAAGATAGTTATGAATTTTTAATGAGGTCACATGACCATATATAGTTAGTAAATCCGTTGATCAGATCATGTGTTCAATGTCTTCAATAAAGCACTGGTTGAGTGTTTATATCTGCACTAATGCTCCAAATGAGGGAGTTACGCATTTTTAATGAGGTCTCATGACCACATATAGTTATTAAATACGTTGATCAGATCATGTGTTCAATGTCTTTAATAAAGCACTGGTTGAGTGTTTATATCTGCACTAATGCTCCAAATGAGGGAGTTACGCATTTTTAATGAGGTCTCATGACCACATATAGTTATTAAATCCGTTGATCAGATCATGTGTTCAATGTCTTCAATAAAGCACTGGTTGAGTGTTTATATCTGCACTAATGCTCCAAATGAGGGAGTTACGCATTTTTAATGAGGTCTCATGACCACATATAGTTATTAAATACGTTGATCAGATCATGTGTCCAATGTCTTCAATAAAGCACTGGCTGAATTTCAATATCTTCACCATTACTCGAGATAAGAGTTATGCATTTTTAATGAAGTCACATGACCATATATTGAATATATATATTGTGCAATGTCTTCAGTAAAATGCTGAAATTAGGCGAGGGTTCTCCGAACCCACCTATTCACATAGTTCATACCCACCACAGACTCCGGTCAGTCAAAATGACTATTTTGAACTGTAGGCATTAATCAGCGATTCTGCCAGTGACGGAGAGATAGAATTTAGGTCAGAGGAAGCCTCATGACCCACGTGACCGAGCCCATATGGCGTCGCCATAGACGGCTGTACAATCACTCTGGTTCCTATCTCCGCATCGAGGACTTATCAGTCAAAATGACTATTTTGAACTGTAGGCAGAGTCAGACGCCGATAGGTGGCGGGTTTTCCGAGCAAACAGAAAAAATTATGAAAGTCTTTTCCCAGTCCGGGATGAAATACAATAATCACTCAACACCCTGGGTAAGGCCCAAAAAGGGTGGTGTCTTACCTTGCCTGTGCTGTCCCCGGAGCAAGAAGCCAAAATGCTGCTACGGTGACAGGGTTCGGTGTGCCCGAAAAAGCTATATCCCAACCCAAATCTGGGGGTAGTAAGCTTTCGAAGTAAAGACCGAAACAGTTCTGCATGAGGGCATAAGCCGCAAAGCGGGACCTAGGAGCTTCCAGGGGACTGCTGACGGTAGAGAAATCTGTCCGCATAAAATGCCAAGACTGACTCATTGCCTATGCGCAGGGAGCCTTGTGGTCGTTCGGGCTGGGTCAGCAAACCAAGACTGACCTGACCCGCTACGACGGGACCCAACCTAAAGAGACCTTCCTCAATGGATACGGTGTCTGTTAGGTGGTAGTTGATAAAGACTGACTGCGTTCTCCAGAAGCCTGCCCTCTGTGTATGCTCGAGGGAGGCACCTGACGCTAGCACCAGTTAGTTGGCAATTACACAAACCTCATGCGCTTGTACTTGGTGTCGCTGCAAGCTCTGTGTCAAGGAAGTTAAAGTATTATAGACCTCTAATACATTCTCAGTAAACCACCTGGTTATGGAAGTGGGGAGGCCGGCCTATCCTGCCTGCCTGGACCGTAACACAAAGACATGTGCCTGGCACCCCGTCCTGAATCCTTAGTATGGTTTGGTAGCAACTCCGTGCTCGAACCGGGCAGAGAAGCAATTCCTTCTGACCCCCCCCCCAGACAAAATTTGACAACCAGGGGATGACGATCAGGTGAGGATCGTGTCCTGGGATTTGGTTCTAGGTGAGAAACCCGATTCGTGTCTTTCGCACAACTTGATTGTCCATAACGGCGGAACATCATCCGAGAAGGACAATGCCCTAGCTCTGGTCGACAACTACCTGAGGCGAGGGCCAGTAAAAAGACTATTTTCCACGTCCAAAAATTTGAGTGGTGCTGATCAGAGAGGCTCAAAGGGTGGTCTGCTTAGAGCGGACAACACAGCCAACAAGTCCGAGTTGGGTGGTTCCCTTGTATGGGGTCTTGGCATCTGGAAAGCAGTAAATAGTCTCCTAATAATAGGACAATCGGCTAGTCTTGTTCCCGTACGTTCTCAATGGTGGGGGGGACAAGGCCGACCTGTAGCCAACGATCGCTGCGTAGGACAAACCCACTTCGTCAAACAGGTGGACGAAGGAGCCTGCTACCTGGCCAATAGAGGGATGGTATGAATCAATCTCTCTTCCGCTATACCAATCAGTGTATGCTCGCAGCCTAGCAATGTAGGCTGCATTGGTGGAATCCCTGTTCGCCCTGGCCAGGACGTTGGCAGCCCGCTCAGATAAGGCTTTCGTATGTGCGGGTCTAATGAGAGTCTCTATGCGTGTAAGTGATACCCGCAGGGCTTGTTGGTAGTGCGCCGTCTGGTTGGAACAGCAGGTCCGGTAAGTCCCGAAACACTATTGGTGTTTCGATTAGCATTTCCGACAGAAGTGGAAACTAGGCCTTGCTTGGCCAACTGGGTGCAACCAATGATCATATGCAGGCGTGCACCTGTTGAAGTTTTCTCTGGTGCCCGGTGAACTAGCGGGAAGGGAGGAAAGGCATACACAACTAAGTGGGTCCACAGGGTTAGCAAAGCGACCCTGGCCCAGGCTCCTGGAGTCAGCAGGAGTGTTATGTACGTCGGGAGCTTGGCGCTCCGGGGTGTGGTAAACTGGTCTAACCTTGGACCGTCCCACAGCCGAAACAGCCTGGAGGGTTGTATGAGCCACCCTGTGTTCTGGAGACGGAGCCGCCCTGAAAGGGCGTCTGCCAGACTGTTCCTCACCCCTGGAAGGTGGTGTGTGCGGTTAGCTCCACATTGTATTCCAGGCACCAAAGGAGGATTTGCTCCGCTAGAACTGACAACGATGAGGAACGTGTCCCCCCTCCTTCTTGAAGGAGACCACCGCTGCGTTGCTTGTGCGGAGCAGGACTACGGGTAGAAAGCGTTGTAGTGCTAAGTATTCTGCTTTCAGTTCGAGCCGGTTGATATGGTAGTCCCGAAACTAATGCGGGGCCATATCCTTGGACTTTTTCGTCCAGTAGATGCGCTCCCCGACCTCGGGAGGAGGCATCAGTTACCAGAGTAATACCTGCGGCGAGCAGGTCCAAGGGGGCCCCCTGTCAGAGGTTGGCCATCGACGGCCACTAGGGCAGGGCTTCCTTCACTTGGTCCCAGATCAAAACCCGCCTATCTAGTTCCCATAGGAGAGCTCGGCGTTACAACAAGCGTTATACCGGGCGGCTGCGTAGTGCGGCCTTGGGAACGAGTTTTCGATCCGAGGTCATCATTCCGATGATCCGCATTAGTTCTCGGAGAGACACTGAGGGAACGTTGACTAGGCATTCGGCTAGGCTGCTTAGCGCTAAGCAACACGCTTGCAATAGCTAAACCAAGCTTACCTCTGTGTCAAAACTCCATGCCCAAGGACACCAACTGCGCGTTGGGTCGAGGTGAGACTTGTCGATTTACTAACGAGCCCAACTGGTGAAGTAAAATCCTGTGTTAGCCAGACGTGTTTGGCTATTAACCCCTTGTCCGGGTTGTGTAGTAACCAGTTGTCTGGGTACAAATTGAGGTGTACCAACATTTGGTGAAGCAGCAGCACTACCTGTTTCGTCACTCAGGTGAACACGTAGGGCGCTGTGCATAACCCGAACGGTGGGCACCCGAAATTCGAATACTCGAAGGAGATGGCAACTCGCTTGGTGCATCAGTATGTGCATGTAGGCCCCGCTTAAGTCTAGTGGGGCTAGCCAGTCGAAACGGTGGATGGAGAGGAGAACCCTGAATGGTGCCTCCATGTGGAACCGATCGAGGAGCACGTACTGATACAGTCTGCCTAGGTCCAGAACTGGACGCCCGCCACCTGTGGATTTGGTACTACGAACACCTTTTGGTAGAAGCCTAGATTTAGTTCCGGCTGATCTACCCTGTGTATGGCACCTTTTCCCAGCAAACTGCTACTTCCTGTCTGATTGCTTTCCGCCTCGCGGGAGTCCCCTGGCAGTGCCCAAGAGGGGAGACACTGACGGGGAAGATGGAGATTTTAGCGGTATCCTGTAACGGGATGTCACCACCTGGAAAGGTCTAGGGATCGGTCACCCGCTGCCTCCAAACTGGACTACACCAGCGCAATCTGTGTACGACAGGGATATGTGGCCATGGGTTTGGTAGTTGCGAGGGGGGTGCTCTCTTCTCCCATGAGTTGAGTTCCCCAAGCCTGAGGTAGTCACTAAGTTGTGACCTGGCCACTCGCCGAACACATGCTTGTCCCCCCAGTTGCAGAGGTGAGCGTCAAACACGCTTCTCTCACTGCTGGG